GTCATAGCATGGGCCTAATCTGTTGCCGATCCAACCAAATAGCCTTCATCAGCTCCAGTGGATCCTGTTTGTGAACATGAAACCTAAAAAGAAGAAGAAAGTAAAAAACTGATCGATGTTTGTTTACATCATTCGTGCAGCGCACTTCACAGAAGATCTTTCGTTTAAGTACGAAATAGAATGGTGGTTATGTCAGTTTTGAGAAAAATGAGGTATTTTCCGACTGCTATCAATTAAAGCAACTCATCACAGATGATTAGTAGCAATCATAGTTAGTTCAAATTATAGGGTTTGAATGAAGTAATAGTGTTACTCGTAAGAAAACGATCCTAATGCGAAGCTACCGTTTTTTCTCATTAAGAAACTGGGTTCGGCAGGTGCCCAACTTGTCTACTATCAACTGCAACCTTCCGCTGAGGCCAGCCCATTAAGACGAACCTTTTTTCACCTGCCAGTTTGAGCAAAAATTGCAGGAAGAATGACAAAGCAGGGTCATTTTCCAAATCTTAAGTTCAAATCACGTGCTGTAATAGCCGCTATTAAATAGAAGCTCTTCGTTCAGCAGATAGCTCCTCACCGTTGCTTGATGCAGCTTAGATTATGCGCCATTGTTCTATATATGCTTAGACGACCATAAATTTAAGAAGTATAGACTTATGTAATTGCAAAATGCGCGCAGTTCTACCTCTCTATGATTTCAAATCCATCTCTGTGCATAGAGATCATTTTAAAGTGGGCAAATCATGATCATAAGGAATATTTTAAAATTAAAACGGGACTTTGAAAGTAAGAAAGCGAGATCAAGTGTGAAGAGAATTGCTGTTGTGATTTCGGTCAGCTACTTCTCACATACTTTTTAAAATCTTTTTTCCCGGAATCTCTCCTTTTTGTAGACCGGAGGCCTTTGTTAATGATAATATTTTTAGACGTATATTATAACATTATGAAATATTAAAATAATATAAATCTATAGAATCACATATAGTTCGTCTTTTAACAACACAAAAAAACAGCTCATCGCTGCGGTTATGAATGTGGCAGCAGTTTATGGTTTGATGCGCTCACAACTTCTTGCAGAGAACGCTATGCACACTAATTTAATAGTTCTGATATTTTGTTATTTAGCCATGTTTTTATTCGTGGCCATAATTAAACTTTAGGAGTATTAAGAGGACCACTAATCGATTATAGAAAAGGAATAACAGAGTTTCTTATAGCTGTTTTAAAAGAACATCCAGAAAAACGTACCTGGGAAATTGGTAGATTGGTATTAGAATTCGCTGCCGCCCTCACAACCCAAACGGTATTTACACAGAAAATCTGAACTTACAATGCATTACAGACATTTAAGTTACTCTACTACAAGTACATACTCGAGCAGTTAAAGTAGTTCCAGTACGTTGAACTGTGCGCACGACATTTCCCGTGGAATTAAAGAATTCTATTTGCATTGTGGTTGGCTGAAAATTTTTCGTAAAAAACTCTTTATGAGTTCTGATATTCACTAACATTTGTATTGGAGGCGGCGTCACAGAATACGTAGCCATCTGTTGGACAGTTGGAGCTAACTCGCCGTAAAATAGAGCATTGCTGGAAATTGGTCGATGATGGAGCCCGGCGAGGCATCGTCGACTGTGAGAGCATCGGACAGCATCCTAGGATATAGCTTTCATTTCCTGATGATTCATTGTATCATCTTGGTTCCCACTATGTCTAGAATAACCTAAAATAAAGGAGAAAATTTTCTCGAAAAAAGTTATAAGTCCGCTCATTAATGGCATTCTTTCTTCCTGGCCTACGTCCAATTTTTGCAGATGATTATCGTAGGAAACATGCAAATGTAGGGCACTTTTCAAAACCACTAAGATGTTGGAGCTTAGCACATCTGACGATGAGTGGGATTCAAAAATAGGAAACAGAAAAGCCGAACTTATGTTGAAAAAAATTAAAAAGATTATCACTTTCGATGAATGTTGGATTCTCAACAAATTCCGTACATCTCTAATTCAATTACCTACAGAAAACGACTGGCGGTTAGAGTGTTAGCAGTATTTGGGAGAATAAAAAATTGAATCGGTTAAAGATGTATTTCTCATTTTTGAAATGTCATAGTCAAACAATACTAGTCATATGAGCTTCATAACTGATGTGCGATGGTTTTTAAGTCGATTCGGTCAGCGAAACGAAATGGCGAAAGAAACCTTTATATACCCCCGTTTACTCCTCAGGCAAAGGAGGCAGCCGAATGGTCATAGCAAGTTATTTTCAAGGAAGTTCTCAAACATGATAGCAAAAGAATTTTAATAAATATTGCTTGAGTGGGTGTGATTTTTGGACCTAATTTGTCCTTCACTCATTTCATCGTGTGGTCTTATTAGGCTTGTTAATGGACGGCTTTCACAGGGTGAGTACCGCATGTTCAAACTATTTATGAACAATTCTGCTTGCTTCCAACATTTCCTTTCTGTTTCTTTTTTCCATAGTCATTGTATTGACTGCTCGTCGGTGGCTTGTTTCATGCAAAAAAAAAACGATTGGATGATTATTCAGATCTCGATGTAGTAGAACATATAACAAGGCTTAAACCACAATGAGATGATAGAATGGGGGTGAGACCCAAATATTAGGATTGGAGAAAAAGTTACTTATCTGGTAGCCCTTTGCCATTGGTTCCCTCATTAACTTGAAAACAACATACAACATTACTATCAATGTCTACTCCAGCAAAAAGCAAGCACGAAAAATCGATACTCTGTAAAGCGTGGGCGAAACGGAAGATGCTGGCTGATGACTTCTTGTGAAAGCTTTTTATTAAGCTGCACCTTGTAAGGTCTACAAGCGCAAGACCAGCTCTCGCTGCACGCGCCGCTACACTCGGGAAAGTAGTGCGCTCTGTTGGAGCATTAACGACGCCGCGCCTTGGTCCCTGCACCCGAAAGAGCTTTTTAGGCATGACTTACAGGAAATTCAGATATATTGAGGGAAGGATATCATGAAGCTTGAAAAACTGCGAAATAACAAGAACAGTTTCAAGAACGCTGACAGTTTATGCATCAACTGAGACACTCTTCAGCCGCGTCTAAATTTCCTATGCCCCTGAAACTAACAACTCTGGCAATTAATCGACGCGAGAGAATTGGTACTTAAAGGCAATGTCTAGGCGAAACTGAAAAATTTACGTTTTCCAGACAATGACTTTGACTAAGCTGACCAAATTCGAACAAATAATTCGCCGTGGTGACGAGAAGATCGCTCCGGACGTCTAGGTCAACCCGCCCTTTATAGGTCACTCCGCCCACTCTACAATTTCCTCCTTGTTTGGCTTCTCTTAAAGGCAGTGTTCCTTAACAAGAAATGCATACGATCGTTTCAGGACCAAAAATCGAAAATCTGAAGTGACCATTTGTCCCCGTCAGTCAAAAGACTAATCTGTTTGTTGTTTAATCTGTTAAAATCTGTTCTTTTTTTTTTGGCAGTTTTACGGAAACTGAAATTTCATCATATTCAGCACACTGAAATAGGCTACAAAAGGCTAGAAAAAGTGGAAAACCCCGAGTTGGGAATGTGCCCATTGCCTTTAAGGGTCGCCAAATATTCGAAGAGTTGAAAAGAAATCTGTACTAAAATCCGGAATTGTTCAAGTACCACTTTCGTGTTTTTTCTCTTAATCGCAAATTGTCTAAACAAATGACAAAATTAAATCTTAATTTGTATGAAGTTTGAAATGCAATGAAAATAAACTTTAAAAAGGGTTTTTTGTACATCTAGCCATAAAAGCACGATAACATTCGATTCTTTCGCAATTTTCTGATCAATTATTGATGAAGTGGTACCGAGGAGGTCACATTCTGGTTTAGCAGCTAGCTAGTCTTGAAATCTGTTGTTTCGCGAAAAGTGCGTATACTTATAATCCTTTAATTTCTTATTAGATAAAATG